CCAAAAACACTTTCCATATATATTTTGATTCATGTAAAACCTCATTTCATTTTAAAACATGAACCCAAAATTTTATTAAAGCTTTAGGCCTTGAAGGCACTCTTCACAGCACTATTTACAGCACTATTTATAGCCTAGTGAACTTGGTTCCGGGGTTCTACATATTGCTTATGTAAGCTCATAAGAAAAGTTGAAAAATTCTCGCATTTTCGCGGGTAAAGTCTTCTGCATGCATGGTAATGTCAAACGAGCACGCGTCTCGGAACTTGATTCCCTAGGCGCGGGTTCAAGGCGTCACACCCCCAACTCGTTTAGAAAGGAAAAAAAGGATAATGCTAGCATTACTTCCTTTTGATACTCACTCTCCATTTCATTGGAAAGAGTGTTAGTGGAAAACACATGTCTTATTCTTATTGGAAGACAATAAAACATGTCTTGCTAAAGAAAGTGTAGTTAGCATTGCCCAAAAAGATAATGATCACTCAAAAGTACCTAATACGTCAATATCTATTGAATTCAATTGTATTAAGAAACAAGAAATTTGAATAGAGTCAATTGCGATTGAACTCTCTTTGAGTTCAATTGCACCCACAAGTTAACCCGTGCTCCTTTTAACTCTTATTAATTGTAGACTTGTATATTCTTTCCTCTTTAATAAAATTTTCTGGTATCTATCAAAAAAAAAAAAAGATTTAGTAACCATAAGTGTTCAATAATCTGACCATGGTTTTCAGAAAGAATATTAATTTTTTAAAAACTTTGGTTAAGAAATTTTAACCCTTAGAGTTAATATTTTTTTCCTTAAAAAACAAGGTTGGTTTGTTGAATACTAAAGGTTAGTGAATCTTAACCACGGTTAATAGGAGTTAAAAGGGACACGTGTTGACCTGTGGGTGCGATTGAACGATGAACCCATTACTAAAGAAGAAGAAAAAATCTCGGGGGCTACGCCCCCGAACCCCCAAACCTATTACTTTTAAAAAAAATATGTTTTTGGCCCCCGCAAGGAAAATATCCTGGCTCCGCCCCTGCTAATGGTGACAAGATGTATTCTAAAGGAAAATTTCCAGGAGTTATATACTAGAGAATGACCACTTGAAGGCTGGCTTCAATGCTCTACTTTATCACTATGATACTAAAGATGGAAGTTGCAATGTAAGAGGAAGCTGTAGTCCAATTTTTGTACAAAATCATAAACTGAGGCACTATCCATAAAAATTTAGGAAGTTTGAGCTTCAATTATTCACTTTTCTAAGGAGGTTTTACCAAGGGAAGGCGATACTTGAGGGTAGTGAGGTCCTCTTTGAAGACTTATTAGCAAGGAGGCTTATTAGATGATATGGAGAAAGCTTACGATCGTGTGAGTTGGCCCTTTTTGGATTACATACTTAGGCGCCTGGGCTTTAGAGACAAATGACGGTTCTGGATGCGATGTTGTTACTCTTCCTCTACCTTCTTGGTTTTGCTTAATGGCTCCCCTCACGGTTTTTTTCAGAGCTTCTGTGGTCTCCGCCACGGGGATCCTCTCTCCCCCTTCTTGTTTATCATGGTCACCGAGGCCCTCAGTAGGATGATTGCTAGAGCTTCATCTTTGGTTTGGGAAGGTTTTAACATTAGGCGCCCCCCTGTTCTCCCATCCCATCTTCAATATGCCAATGGCACTTGTTTTCTGTGGGGCATCAAGCCATCAGCTTCTTCTCATTAGATGCATGTTCAGATGTTTGATGTTTCGAAGCGGCATCTGGGTTACGAATAAACTTTTCCAAAAGTCATATCTATGTCGTGGGATAGGTTCCCCTTCTTGAGGAGTTTGCTTTGTGCCTAGGGTGTAAATCCGGTGTTCTCCCGAGTCCCGACTAATTTCCTTAGGCTTCCGTTGGGGGCCCTTTTCAAAGCCACCTCGGTGTGGGAGTCGGTGATTGAGCAGTGCATCAAGAGACTAGAGGGATGGAAGGCTAGCTTCCTCTCAAAAGGTGGGCGCCTAACCCTTTTGAAAAGTACCCTTAGTAGCCTCCCAACTTATTACCTATCCCTGTTCCCCATCCCTTCGCTGGTGGTTGCTTGGATTGAAAAGATCCAGCGAGACTTTCTGTTGAATAAGAAGGTGTCTACTAGGAAGTATCATCTAGTGTGTTGGGACCTGGTTTGCTGCCCTAAGACGTTTGGCGGGCTAAACCTGTGGCCCCTCAAAATCGTTAACCACACTATGTTGGGAAAGTGGTTGTGGAGATTTGGGGGAAGAAAGTCACAATTTTTGGCGTCAGGTCATAGTGGCAAGATACGGGGAGAGTAGCAGATGGAATCCCAAAGGGACAACCAATCCCTATGGGGTGGTTCTATGGAGAGCAATCCTGAAGGCTAAGACGGATTTTGACCGTAACATCATATTGTTCATTGGTAATGGGGAGGAAGTCAAAATTTAGTTTGATTTATGGTGTGGTTTTAACACTCTAAAACAGGACTTCCACTTGCTTTATCTGCTTTCCCTAGATTGTCAAGGGGTGGTGGCTTCCTTTTTCGAGAGGAGAGATGGGGCCATTGTCTGGGTCCCCCGTTTTTAGAGACCATTGCAAGATTGGGAAGTCAACTCGTTTATCAGCTTGCTAGGGCGTCTAGATACTGTAAAGCCTTTGCTTAATTCTAGAGATTCTCGAGTATGGTTCAGGGACGAAAAAGGTTGGTTTACTATTAGCTCCTTCTTGAGGGCTTGGAGTGGTTTTTCTCTATCCACTTCCCCTAGCAAAGTGGTATGACATTTAGGAATGCCATCCAAGGTGTGTTTTTTTTAATGGATTGCTTTTCTAGACAAAATCTTGACTGTGGATAATCTTCAAAGTAGAGGCTGGAACCTTACAAACATAAGTGCGATGTGCCTGGCAGCGGAGGAATTTGTAGATCATCTACTTTTATAATGTTCTTTTGCATACACCATCTGGAGCTGCTTCTAGCTCACTTTGGAGTTGCTTGGGAGGATGGATGTCGGCAAGGGGCCCAGTTTCAGGGTGAGGGGAGCATTTGCTCCCCACCTAAGGAGAGTGTTTGTTTATTTGGGAGTTTGCTTTCCTTTATGGTCCACATATTGGCCCTTTCTTCTCTTTTCTTTTCTTTTATGTATTTTTCACTGTAGTTCTCTATCTGTAGCTCGGTTTACTCTTTGTGAATCTTGCTCTCTTGCTTTCTATTATTAATACACCAGTTCCGTTTGCTTATAAAAAAAAAAAGGAGGTATATTAGATGATAAGAACTTGATTAAATATTGGAGCAACAAAAAAATAGCACAAAGCCTGTAGGTCAATAGAAAGGAAACCCCAAAAGGTTCAATTAAACTTAGCTTTGATGTAGCTGGAGTGAATCTAAGACATACTACAGCTGGAGAAATATTTTTAAATGACCAAGGGATGTTATATTTGCCATTTCTGGGCCAAGCTTGTAAGGGTTCTAATGGGGCAGAGGCTAGAGAATGGCCAGAGGTCAGAGTTCAAACAAGTACTTGTGTAGATCTTAGAATGGAAATTTGCTTAACTTGATTAGTAGGGGTCTTAACTCTTAAGATGAGTAAATGAACAGAAAAGCATCCTTTATAAGATTGGAGATTAATGTGAAAATTTGGATGTCAAGCTTCAGCATATTTTGAGAGTACTGATGTTGTTCAAACAAACATGCATTTATTAATCAAGGTAAGCTGTCGAAGTCTGTCTATTGGTGACTGTTTGCCTTTATCTAAGACTGCTATATTTTTTTAAAAAAAAGAGAAAAAAGATATAACATTCCCATTGTCATCTTTTATTTATCTTAGCTCTGCATTTCCCCCAACCGCATGCATCTCTCTCTCTCTCTCTCTCTCTCTCTCTCTCTCATGTTTGGATTATGGATCTATGCAGGAGGAATGGAGGGTACAGATGTTGCCCATACAGTTCCTATTCCTGACTGTTTGGCCAGTAATTGACATGAGGTTGAGATGTAAATCGCAAGGGAAAGATTACCCGCCTGGAGTTCCTCTCAATGTCTCAAAGGTCCTTGAGCTTGACATAGTAAGTCTATCGAGAGAAATTAAGCACACGAATATACTATAGTGTGATTATTATGACGGTGAAACAGTTCACCATACTTTTAATCCATTGCACATAACCATTTGGTAGTTTACCTGTGTTCAGTAGAGGAGAGAAGAACCTAATTATGATACATTTAATAAAGGTGTCGAAATCTTTTTTTGCTCCCAACCCATGTAACATATGCAAGCTGTACTTTTGCAGACAAGATGGGAGCTCCAAGGTCTAGATAGTGCTGTTGAACCATCTCATTTTGCACTCGGTGTACGAGGAGCCTTATATCCTGATAGACTGGGAATGCGGAGCCGACTCAAAGGTCAATTAGAAATGAACATAAGCTTTGTTCTACCCCCTATCCTTGCTTTGGTCCCAGATGATGTTCTCAGAGGTGTCGCAGAGTCGGTTAGATCATCAAGACCAATTCATGATTGTTGTTCTCCTTAAAAATTTATTTTCTTTTAAATGGATTGAAGGATCTAAAATATGTTTTAAATACTCCTGTCTAATATATGCATGTATGGCCAGGTGCTGAAGAGATTGGTGGAGAACATGAAGGATAAAGTGAACGGAAGCTTGCTTTCAGATTTTAGTGAGTTCAGAAGCGCGAAGCCGAGGAATCTAGTTTAAGCTTTTGGTTCGACCTGACGGGGTCTTTGGAAAGCAAGAGAGGTTGCAAGTTCTACCAAGCTTACCCAACAGAAATAATAAAACAAATTGAAGACAAGAGAGTCCTAAAGAACTCTAAACCTTGTAAAGGAAGTCCCTTCAATTGTTTCAAAAGTTTTTGAACTGAAGCATGGTATTGTAAAAAGCAGGGAGGGAGTTGGTGGTTGTCTGTTTACAGTTCCACCGTGAGCAGTTTTTGGAATTTTTGTGATGTAAATTTTAATTCTTTTGGATCAGGAGGGCAGTTGGGGAATTTGCTAGACATTAATTAAAAATATCTTGTTTTGGAGATGTGGGGGATCGAACCATGTACCTCTCGCACGCAATGCGAGCTCTCTACCATTTGTGCTACATCCCCATTTTATTTTATCCTCACTTCTCACCGACCCCAGGCCAGGCAGTATCTCAAAACCAGACCGATTGAACACCTTAAACAATTCAATTCCAATATCATAATCTTCAGCAAAGCCTCTTCCCGATGTAACATCTGACCATAGAAGCTGGTGTTAGTTTCTAAGCACCATTTTTCTCATTTGTTTATAGCCATCCTTAGCAGTGGCCATCTACTGGAAGGTTAACTAGTTGTTAAAGCTTGAGTTTTAGTTTTTTGAATCTTGGCTGAGGAATGCTAGCAGCACGCCCACTTAATACCACTGGAAGACAGATCACTATATATAGTCATTTAGGTTGCAAATTTTGCCAAAATCAGTTGGTTCAACCAATTGAAAGTGAGATGGTCGGGATTTTTCATCTGAAAAATCTGTTATTTCATTTGTTTTTTTGTAGTAACAGCAGTTACTATTGTTATTATTATGTTTTCCCTGTCAATCAGGTGAATAATCTTCTGCAAAATGTCATTCCTGTTGCTTAGTTTAAAATCTGTCAGCTCCCCACCAGTAAAGAAGAATCCAAGCTCCCTAAGCCTGTTTCAGTTAAACTGGCACAATGTATAAGTTGCCAGTTCAGCCATGGACTGCTTGTATACAGTAAACAAGAATTACAAATCCTCATCAAACCTCTTAAAACAACACTTCAGCATTAAGAAAAGAACAATGGTACACAGGCAAAACTATTTTGTTTTGGCTTATTGCTCTGCAAGCCATTATGCCAGAGGATCTGCTCTGATACCCAATTGCTTTAGTTTCTTCTTTATGTAATGCTGAACATGATATATTAATGGTAAAATGAATATACTTTTACTAGTGCATGAATTTATATTACAGAGACTGTTTACATGATCTTCAGCTTTGAAAATACACTGCCACTGATGATTGTATCAATGTGTGTTTATATGATCATCAGCTTTGACAATACACCTCCAATGGAGATTATACATTGTTTTCCACCTAGGGATTGGAACTTCATATCAATTCAAGTCTTCTTGGTCTTCAAGGGATTGCTTCCGGGCCCTCAGGTTGAGCTCAAGGCTTTTTGGTATAGGGGGTGTCCGTCCTCTACGGAATAGAACCGCAAGGGCCCTCATCTTCTGACAGATATCAAACACCTAGCAGCAAAGTGACCTGCAACACCTTCACAACATTGACCTCCTCTCTGTAGCAAGTTGCAGTATCTAGCAGTGTCGTTCTCCTCTTCAAATACCTGCGATGGCAGTAAAGTTTTCAACTGAACAACTAAAAACAAAAAATTATGTCCTGTAACTTTCATACTAACTTATTCCAATTTTGTGCAATTTAATAGTGATCAAGTCAGGTTCACATTATGTGGCAGTAATATATCTATAGATTATATGATTGACAATTGGATATTACTATGAACTAGAGGATTTTCTAACCCAAAAAAACTTGAGGTTTAGATATCTGCAGTCAGAGAACCAACAAAACAGTACCTCGAAAGCAACCATGTCAATTTGGAATATTTTCTTAAATAAGACAAAACATAACTTAGCAATTATGTAATAGAAACTTGAAATATTTCAGCGTAAAAGTAATATAAACTACAACTAGCACAAATTATACATAGTTAAATTCCAAATTTAGTCTTATTGGAATCCTTCCAGTAGAAATGGTAGAATAGAAGTAAGAGGAGGTTAGTAGTAGAAAGCAGGATGGTTCATGGAACTGGAACAGAAACTTGGGAAGAAAATCAACTGCTGGTAAGAAAAAACAAATTATAGTGCACAAACCATAACTTGAATATGAGACCCCCTATCCTTATCTAGACTTTCATGTGACCTGTATATGAAGTCTCAGACTCTGATTTCAGGTAAACCATCAAAACATCTTACAGAGCACATCCAAATGTGACATGCATGCAAAAGGTGCAACCCACCATTTCGGTAGGTTACAGCTAAAAAATTTCCAAGCCAAAATTAAGACAATCTGAAAATTGTCCAGAAATTGTAAATACTGACCCTATAACATCGCTTTGGACGACCAGGACAATATGGTAAGCAGTTCCAAAAAATTTGGTCCAAGGTTAGAAGGTTACAATCATCAGATAGGGGTTCTTTGGGTATGTATCTCTTAGGTGGGACACAATAAACAATGGGTCAATGGTGGGTCCTGATCCTGACTGCCCTGCATGTAGCCATGTACGCCATTTTAAGGAAATACATAGAGTGAACGGCTTCTTCCATTTCCATCATTTTGTCTTGACACAAGTATTCCTCTTCTCAACTGAAAATCTTACACCTCACAAGTGAAACAAATGAAGGAAAAAAAAAACTTACAAGCACTCCGCCACTCCCTCCCTGATATCCTCAACAAGCATCTGGAATTTTGTGCTAGCATTTGACTTCTCATCCTTATTTTTGATTTCAGATCTGAACTTTCCTCCTTTAGAAAACAATAGCCCAAGCTCTCTTTCAACTTCACTGTACAAAATATAAAACATCATCCATGCCTAATATTTGTTCAGGTGAAGATACTCCACAACATAAAAGCACACCGGTGATTTCTTCGTGCATAACTGATTTTCCATGTGGGTCAGTACAAAAACGGGTTTGGAGCTTCTCTCCATGGGTTGGCCTCCAATACTGAGGAATAAGAAAATGAGATATAAATTGTCAAAGCTAAACTCTATCCAACGAAACAAATATGAACCACTGTATCCACAAGGCACTTGGCCACCACCATAACCAATGGGGAAACAACACAAAAAAGTTTTAAAAACTTGAGCTCCAAGACACTTGAATTCTGAAGGACTCATGCAGTATTAATGTGACCAAAAAAAATCTACTCTTCGATTGAAGATAAATTGGTAGATCGAAGGAACCAATGATAACATAGTTTGAAAACGTCACATTTATCTTATTAGTTGCTATTTGCTAAGATATACAGATATCCAACCAATGAGTTCCAGAAACGAAAACTAAGTATTCAGAAGATGGTAACAAAATATTATTTTATAAAGAATAAAGTGGAATCGACCACTATTCAAACCAAATTCCAGTATATAAAGAAATCATTAAGCTCCGCAGTGGTATACCGTTTAGCAGCAACAAGATTCGACATTCCAAAGTACTAAGATCGATTAGTTCTACCATCCAAAAATAAGTCTAATTCTGATTATCAAGACCAATCAATTTGGTTGCAGTCAGTTTCTTGGGTTAATAAGCCAAAACTGAAGTTGAAGCGGCACAGCTGAATACTAATAGCATAGAATGAATGCAAGTACTTTTTTCTCTGATAAGAACATGTGCACATATGTTTAATGTTGATATTTTTAAACATATGATATTCAGAACTAATATAATACCAAATACTCTGTCCATAGACTTCAAAGTTCATACTATAATAGTTTGTTTATTCATATAGTATTTCATGCATGGAAAATTTGTTTTCTACGCATTCCAGTGACATTTTCTATGGTAATAGTTCACAAAAAAAGGATGTTGAGGCAAGCCTCATAAGCAATTGAAAGACATTTGATCAAGAAGCATAGTATTTGACTATTAATTAGGGGACATTTTCCTGAAAAGAGAAATTTGCATGTCTCAAGGAAAGACAGCATTCCCCACTTTACAAGATAAATTCACCCATAATAAATTTGATTCAGGCCTCCATTAACAACATCTATCATGTATAAAAACTTGTATGGCACAATTCTGTTGAGCATTGATTGCCCTGCACGTTCACCAGGAAATATGTAGGATGAAATGAAGGGCTATTCTTTATTGAGAAAGAGAAATCAAAAGGTGAAGGTCCAAAAGAGAACACAAAATAAAACTGAATAGGTTTGCAATTATAGAGTTTGAGACCATATCTTTCCAACAAATAAATATTGTGATCAAGCAACAATGAATAAAAAAATTAAAGCAATCCCAAAATAGAAAAGGGCCAGAGAATTTTATCAATCTCCTAGGCTTGAAAACAGACATCCAAGGAGAGGAGACCCTTCCACCGATTTGCATTGAAGGCATCTCCTTAATCTCAGAGCGTGATAACTTCACCTTTTATTAACACAATGAGGTCATACACAAGACAGTTAAATCCCCCATATAAGAACCCTATATTGTATGTGGCATTTGCAAGCCTCCAAGGGCTTCATGAAAACAGATAACATTGATGTCTTGCTTTGAACTGCCAAGAAAATGTTACAGCAAAACTTCAACCATCCAAGAAAGCAATAAAGCATATGCATCCTCTTGTTAAAATAGCTGAGACCCATGGCCCCTGAATGCAATTGCAGCATCCCCACCAAACATGGATTGCAAAAGAGCACCAGGGGTGGGTGGGTGGGTTCTTCCACCATGAGTTGAGATAAGCACATCTCATATCATGGAAATCCTTAAAATCAGATGCCCACTTACAATTTTGAATCTTTTGTCATAAAAATTCGGGGCTAGAAGTCTCTCCTTTAATGGGAAACAAGACATATCTTTTTCGTTCCACATAACTCAACAAGAACTGAAAGACAAGATTCCAAGCAATTCCTGTCGTCAACTGATTTGAAGCTACGTCCATGTGAGATGCGTGGCAAGGGAAAAAAAAACTAAGGCAAAATGGTGTGATCTCCATTACATATATAAGAATATATACAAAAAAGACCTATACCCATATGAGCCAAAGCTAGGATCAAACTCACAGTGTTTACTTGCAGGAAGAAAAAGAGATATCCAGAATACATAACAATGCAATAGCAAAACAAAGGATGAATTTGAATGAAATGACCAAATACGTTTCACTTTTTCGAGGCCATATGACAAAATTAGCAACAAAATTTCATATAGAATCTGTTGCGAACAAAACAAAACAAATCCATCACCATTCTCATCACACCAAATTAACAATCATTTGAAAATAGAATTAAAGGTCCAGGGACGATTGGTTCAAACAAAACAACAAGCAATTTGTTACAATTAGCATAACAGACAGCACCAAGAACAATGAGAAGAAT